TGAAGGCGTCCTCGTATCCAGCGGCCAAATCCAATCGAGCGTTTGCCGTTCCGTTTGCTTCAGTGTGGATGGATCACAAGGGTTTTGTCCGAGTGAGTGCGTGCGTGCGGAAGCAGGTCGAGACGCTGCGTGCGGGCGACATGATCAGCCTCTGGTCGCTTCCAGTCAGCAGTAGGCACAAAGATCGGCGTCTCGGGAGCCGCAGCAAATCGTCGTCGCGGGTCCCTTTTCCCGCCGGTGGATCTCTCACGTAAATCAGAGTGAGCCAACTCGGAGATCAACACAATGTTCAGAGGCGCCCTCGACCCACATCCGAACTTAACGTACTACTACGGACCACCCGTGTGTGGGTGTGGGTGTGAACGCGATCTATCACATCCATCCAGTCAGTCAGTCAGACAGACAGACAGACAGACACACCGACACACAGACAGACACACAGATCTCTCTCATTCGCCATTTTGCTCCCTCGACCGCACTCGTGTTCTCGTCCTTTTTCTCGTCGTCACTCTCGACCATGAGCGTCCAGGCCCAACCCGGCGACAAAGTCGTGCTCGCCTACAGCGGCGGACTCGACACGTCCATCATCCTCAAGTGGCTCACGAACAAGGGCTTTGAGGTCATTTGCTACTGCGCCAACGTCGGGCAGCAAGGCGAAGACTACGAACAGGTCCGCGCGAAAGCGCTGGCGCTCGGGGCGAAGAAGGTGTACATTGAAGACCTGCGCGCAGACTTTGTCGAGCACTACATCTTTGAAGCCGTCAAGGCCAACGCCATCTACGAGTCGCGGTACCTGCTCGGCACGTCGCTCGCGCGGCCTGTCATTGCCAAGAAACAAGTGGAGATCGCCAAGGCCGAGAACGCCAAGTACGTGGCGCACGGGGCCACGGGCAAGGGCAACGACCAAGTGCGCTTCGAGCTCTGTGCGCAAGCGCTGGACGCGCAGCTCAAGACCATTGCGCCGTGGCGCGACGCCGAGTTCATTGAGACGTTCAAAGGCCGAGCTGACTTGATCCAGTACGCCAAAGAGCAGTCGATCCCGATCGATGCGACGCCGAAAGCCCCCTACAGTGTGGATGAAAACCTCTACCACACGAGCTACGAGGCCGGGATGCTCGAGGACCCCATGACGGCCCCCATGGTCGAGATGTTCAAGATGACGGTGGACCCGAAAGACGCGCCGGACACGCCCGAGCAGATTAGCGTCCGCTTTGAAAAGGGCATTCCCGTGGGCGTGACCAACTTGACGGCCAAGACGCCCGAGCTGACGGGCGCGCTCGACCTCTTTCTGGAGCTCAACAAGCTCGCGGGCAAACACGGCGTCGGTCGCATTGACATTGTCGAGAACCGGTTTGTCGGCATCAAGTCCCGAGGGTGCTACGAGACCCCTGGCGGTACCATTCTCCGTCACGCGCACCTCGACCTCGAAGGGCTGTGCATGGACCGCGAGGTGATGAAGGTGCGCGACGGCCTGTCGGCCAAGTTTGCCGAGTTTTGCTACAATGGGTTCTGGTTTGCCCCCGAGATGGACTTTGTGCGTCACGCGGTGGACTACTCGCAGCAGAACGTGACGGGCTACGTCCACCTCGAGCTCTACAAGGGCAACGTGACGGTCATTGGCCGCTACTCGGACGAAGCGCTCTACAGCGCGGACCTGGCGTCGATGGACCAAGAAGGTGGGGGCGACCACTTTGACTACAACCCAGCGGACGCGCAAGGCTTTATTCGCATCAATGCCACGCGTCTCAAGGCCTGGCGATGCCGTCCGCAGCCCAAGAAGTAGGTGACGACCTTTCTTCGCGACGAGCGGCCGTCGATGTCGCTTGTCGCACAAGTATAGTGCCGAGTGCTAAGCCGGACACGAGAATATGCATTGGCCTCGGCGCTTGCGAACCTGACCCCCACGCATGACCAGTCGATTGTTATCCTGCTTTTGTGTGTCTTTCGTCACTGTCACTATCATGTCAACCGCGTCCGTGTAAAGCAGGATAAGAACGAGCTTCATTGTGCAACGAAGCGCAGCAAAAAAAGCACTTTGCTGCTCCTTCTTACTTCACACGCTCAGTAGCGATTTTGACGTCCGAGTCGCACAGGCGAAAGCAGAAGAACAGGGCATGGGGAACGACGGCGGCGTCATCGCTGTGAAGCGCAAGTTCATGCGCCACGCGAACGTCAAGACGCGCGGCGAACAGGCGGACCAGGAGGCGCTGCGTGCCGAGAAGGCGCGTACGTGTGCGCTGTCGTCGCAGCCGCTGCAGGAGCCCATCGTGGCGTGTCGCTTGGGCAACTTGATGAACAAACAGACAGTGATCGAGCAGCTACTGGCCAAGTCGATGCCGCCGCACGTGGCGCACGTGTCGTCGCTCCAGGACGTTGTCACGTGCCGCGTGACGCGCGTGAAAGACGACACCGACGCGCGTGGCTGGTGCTGCCCCGTTACGCTGGTCGAGTTTACCGGCAAACAGCCGTTTGTCGTGCTCTGGACGTGCGGCTGCGTGCTGTCGGAACGTGCTCTGAAAGCCGTTGACACGTTGGAGTGTTTGGTGTGTAGCACTCCGTTTACAGAGCAAGCGGTCGTGACGCTGCTGGACGAGAAGGGGTACAAGGAAAAGCAGGAGACGCTGCTGGAGCAAAAGGCAGAGGCGAGACGCACCAAGAGGAACAAGAACAAGGTCAAGCAAGTGGACGAGACGGACGGCACGAAAGCGGACACGACGAAACGTCAGAGCGGCACGAAGCACAAGCGAAAGGCCGAGCAGCGACGAGACGCCAAAGCCGCCAAAGTGGCAAAAGTGGCGAGTGAGTCGATTTCCAACGCCAAGGAGAAGAGTCGCGTGTTTGCGTCAATATTTTCCACGACGAAGCAAGAGAAAGTGAGTGCCAATGACTTGCTCATGACGATTGGCGGCATGCGCTACACGCTGTCGTAGCCAGCGCCGGATCGACACGACAGGGTGGCGGACGGTGAGCAAGCGGTTCGCGTACTTTTCGACATGTTTGTCTCACGTGGCTGGAACGTGAACGCTCGACCAGACCTTGGCAGAGCCGTCGATACAGCCTGTGGCGAACATGCTGCTTTCTGGGTGACTCGCAAGCGCTCGCACTGCTTTCGTGTGTGCTGCGAACGAATGCGTTTGTTTGGCGTCGACGAGGTCCCACCAGTACACTTGCCCGTTTTCGGAGCCGCTGAGCACGAGGGCGCCATCGCTCGAAAAGCCGCATTCTATCTTGTAATCCAGCACGCTGTGTCCAAGATAGCTGAACGCACGCACGACGAGCGCAAGTACGAGGGTGAGACTAGCAACCAGCATACGCTATCATTACCGTCTTTTTCACTCACCGCTGCACTTCTGTTCCATTAGCTTTCTCGATCAGCCGGATTGAGCCGTCTAAGCATCCAGCCAGGACGAAACGCATGTCGGGGGACTGCGCGACTGACACTACTGGCACTATTGCAGCAAGAACAACAACATCGGCCAATCTGCTCATGAGACGATCGCGTCGCGATGTTGCACTCGTATGAACGCGTACCGTCAATATGCTCGCAAAAGAGTTGCCCCGCACGTAGATCGTATGTCCGCACGACACCGTCGACACACCTGCAGCCGAAACAAGAGACCACATGAGTGCAGCCGCGGGAACGGACGAGAGCAAACTAGTTGAAGGTGTCTGTACCCCGCAATGATCTCATGCTCTGCAACTACCATCGAGGTGACGCTGTCTCTGAAGTCATCCAGAACCTGAATCGGCACGTACGAGTTGCGAGCTCTGACAGCAAGCGCACATTCACACACACGCGTGAGGAGCTCTGTTGGATGGACGGACAGTGTTGCATCCGCAGTAGTATGTGTCTCGACTGACCTCATGTCCCACGCCCGGACAGTCTTGTCGTACGACCCGCTCAGCAACACGGACGAGTCTGCATTGTAGCGCACGCAATTGACACTCTGCGACGCCCGTGCCACGAGACGGTCAAAAAAGTCAGCAGCAGTCTCGTCCAGTCTTTTCCAGTACTGGCCACAGAGTCAATCAGTCTGTCTGTCTGTCAGTCGCCGTACATGTTCGTGTCCTTCGAACTTGCGGATCACTCGAGCGGTCGGCACGTCCCACAGGAACACGTCTTTGTCTCGACCACAGGACGCGAACTTGGAGTTGTCCTGCGCGCTGCAGCCGCCATGAAGCAGTCAGTGCATGACGAAGCAGTCCGTCGTCCGCGTTACTTCAGACCTCGAGCCACTGCTGCGGACACGGTCATCACGTACATGGCCACGTCTTGGACGTCGTAGCCATGTCGGCCCTCGTACGTCTTGACCAGTAGCGCCTCTTTGGGCTTCTCGACGCTGTCCCGATGTGGGTTCCAGAGCTTTATCGTCTTGTCCTGACCGCATGTCATCACGTACGTTCCTGTGGCTGCAACACACACACACACACACACAGACCACATGCCACACATCACACACAGTCCCATCTGGTGGTCAGTACGTTGAGCCATGTCGCAGCGCCACCGAGCGGGGAATTGAAGAGCGACTTGCAGTTGAAGCGTACGGCGTTTACGGGTCCATTGTGACCGCGCAGTTCGCGCTCGCAGCCGCTCAGTGCTGCTGTCATGTCCATCCTGACTGGGACCCTTTCGACTACTTAAGGCTTACTTGACCAAGTGGCGCAACAACAACAACGACGACGACATCGTTTGCCCCTCTGCTTTTCAGCCATTGTCCAAATTAGCTCTCTGTCTAGTGCTACCGTCTAGAGCTACCTCTAAACTGTGTGTATCCGTGCAACTCAGGACAACCCAAGAGCTGCGGCCTTTATCCATCGTCTCAGTGACACCAAGCTGTTCTCTTGGTCCTCGACCAGCTGATGCGACGGAGAGGACGGAATCGGGCATTGCGTCATGCGAATGGCCACAAGCACCGCCACAATTCCCTCGGGCTCGTCCTGTCTCCACTTTCCCACGCTCTCCTCTTTTCTCTTGCTGCCCATTGCTCCCCGTTGCTGTGTTACGGTGACGTGACTGGGGAGACGGACGACTCGAACAGCTCCCAGATGTTGCCGTTCAGAAAGTCATTGTCCACGATACTCACGAGGAAGTACGTGTCGTGGATCTCGTGCAGCAGCTTGAACGACTTGCTGCTCTCCTCGTACAGCGACGCCCACAGCTTGAGCCACAATGCAAACGCCTCGTCTTTCCAGACCAAAAAGCTGCTGCTGTCGACGATCGTGGGCTGCAAGATCTCCTTGTTGGGAAACACTCCCCACGTCACAGCCACAGCCGACTTGCTGGCATTCGAGTACGAATGGCCGTTTACGTCCACGGCGTGGTACTGCACGGAAGGCTTCTTGGCAGCGTTGTTGATGATGGTCTTCATGTTCTCGGGCGACACAAAACACTCCACATACGCCTTCTGGTATACACGGCCTCCAGGACCACCCCCAGCCAAACATCGGATCGTCAGAGAGTGCACCGTTCACGCGCGGCTGACTGTTGATGGTCAAGAATCCAGCGGCATTGGCAGTGACGAGCTCCTGTTCGACGGTCGACGTCTCGTCGTGCAGTGCAGCCTCACACCACGGTAGACTTGTGATCTTGCCACGCACGTATTGCACGAATACGTGACGAATGTCTTCTGTTGTCGTTGGTGCGTCGCCCCACATGGAGCGACGTTCAACGGGCAACCACGTATTGGTTGGTGCAAAGTGTGACTCGGTGAGCTCCCCGAACGCAGGACTTTCACTGTTGCCCCAGCGGCCATTCGGGTACTCGTCCCACATGGCCGTGCGATGCACGTAGCTCTTCGGTCGATGGGACCAGTAGATCGGCCGCACGCTCTCTGACGCACGTTTCGACAGCATCGACGTCTCCCAGGGCAGTTCTCGTCGCGAAACATGGCGAGACAGCGATGACAAGCCTTCCAAGATCCGACGCACCGAGCGCTCGAGATTCAGCGTGTAAAAGTGCAGCCCCGGCACGCCAGCGTCAATGAGCTGCTGACTCATGGCAATGCCCAGTTGCACGCCATAGTCCTTCACGGCTTCGTCATTGTCTTTGATCGGCTCCAGCGCTTGACGGACCCTGTCGGGTACAACAGTCTTGCAGAACGACGTCATGCGCTCAAAGCCGCCATAGTTCTGAATTGGCATGATCCCCGGCAGGATCGGTACGGTGATACCTTCAGCTCGACATTGCTCAACAAACGCGAGAAACACTGCAACGTCGTAGAACAGCTGCGAAATCACAAAATCCGCACCGGCGTCGACCTTTTCCTTCAGGTGCTGCACACCACCTGCCAAGTCCGCGTGGCTCTCGGCATGGCCTTCCGGGTAACCTGCAACAGCAATGCAAAAGTAGTCGCCATAGTGGCGACGGATGAAGCGCACGAGGTCGACGCCGTGCGAGAACCCGCGATCGCACTCGTGGAAGCTGCTGGCGCCCCGCACGGGATCGCCCCGCAGCGCTAAAATGTTCCGAATGCCCGCGTCTTTGGCCTCGTCCAGCGCCTTCTTCATGTCGCGCTCGTCCATGTTGGTGCACGTCAGGTGCATGAGCATCTCGAGGCCGCTGAGCTGCTGCGCGTTCGCACTGAGCTCGAGCGTCAGCTGCGCGCTCGAGCCGCCGGCGCCCCACGTCATGTCGCAGAACAGCGGCTCGAGCGCCGCCATGCGGTCCATGCGGGCGTAGAGATTGTCGACGCCGGCCGCTGTCTTTGGTGGGAAGAACTCGAACGAGTAGAACACCTCGTGGCGCTCGATGCTGTCGTTGATCTTGTCAATGATTGTCATCGTGTGGGGAGTGAGTGAGTGGGTACGCGTGGGGTACGTACGCCCTCGACGGTGGATTGTCGACTGACTGACAGATTGATTGACTAGTTGACTAATTGACCAATTGACTGACCAATTAACTGATCGAGGGCGTGGGTGAGACGGCGGGGCGAACGGGAGTACCGGTAGATACGTACCCCGTCGCGCGGTATTTTTGGTGGCGTGTGTATACACAAATTGGTCCAGCGGTACTTCTTTTTGTGTGTTTGCGCTGTCGGTGTCGGCGTTGGGTTCAATTGTTGCACCGCACCATTGAATTCGCGTCCGATGATGACGCAGGTCGACGCGTGCGTCTGTGCGACATGTCATCGAGCACTGCCCGCCAAGAGCTTCTCCCGGCATCAGCAGCTCCGAACACAGCCGTACGTTGCACGAGCGCTGAACTCTGAGCTGAGCACAAGCAGATACATTGGCAAAGTCTGACTGACGGACGGACTGGTTGTGTGGATCGATTTGGTGTCTGTCTGTCTGTCTGTCTGTCTGTCTGTCTGTCTGTCTGTCTGTCTGTCTGTCTGTCTGTCTGTCTGTCTGTCTGTCTGTCTGTCGTCCTCTCTCTCTCTCTCTCTCTCTCTCTCTTTGTAGCAAGTGCAAAGCGTGTGTCGAAGCAGCAAACGATCACGACCACAAGTTGCAGCAGCGATGGAAACTCTGTGTGCAGTGCTTCCAGCACCTGTCGAAGCTGAGCTTTTCCAAGCGACAGGCCCAGTTGCTGGACGCCAAGTGCATGCGCTGCGTGCAGGAGCTCGAGCGAGTTGCGGCTGCTTCGCCAGCGGACACGGCAAGTAAGTGGCAGCACCCATTCTGCTGTTTCATTCGTTGTCGTTGTCACGAGTGGGTACAAACTGCTGCTGTGGCTGTGTGAACCTGAGGCATGTGGAGCTTTGACCGTTACTATCGCGTGTGCCATCGCGGCAAGAGTGGAGGGGTGTCGGTGCGAGTGAAGCACAATGTTGCGTCGCCGTTGGTTGGCTACATCCCATTCGGCCGCGTGTTCCGTGCTACAGCACCTATTTGCAACGAGCAGGGGGACCCTATGGTCCGACTTGATGGACTCCATCTTTCGTGCATCGTTGTACAAGACGAGACAAAGGTCGTAGAGAAGGAGGAAAACGGCGGTGGACGACAGATGAAGGAAGCGTGGGTGCCCACTCGCTCCATTCGCAACGAGGTGCTGCTAGAATGCCACCAAGGACCCTTTGTCACTGACGAGAGCGCACTGGAAAGTGGACGAACGAGCAGCAAAAGCAGGTTCTTCAGGTGTGTAGTAGAAGGATGCAAAGCGCGCGAGCGAGCCGATCTATCCATTCCAGAGCTTGGGTACGTGCTCTATGGGGACGTCGTTGAAGTGGTTGAAGCTGCTGTCACTCCAGATGGTGTTGTCTTCTTGAGACTCCATGGCCGGTATTTTGATGGCGCCGCATGGGTCGTCGAACGGTCGTTAGACAATGAGTCGGTACTGAACGAAGTTGAGGGTCCGTGGTCGTCATCGCCGACTGTGCCCAGACGCGAGACGTACCGATGTGTGCAAGTTTCTGGAGCTCCTGTCCGTGTAGATCCAGAGCTGACGGCGTTGCCGGTGGGCCGCCTTTCCTGTGGTGCCCTTGTCACTGTTGTAGAGCGTGCGATTACGGACCAACGACAGGTGTTTCTCCGGTTCGTCGACTTGAACGCCACACCTGCAGATGGAAGTGATGCTGTAGACAGCAAATGGGTTATCGAAACCAGCACGTGCTGCGGCAGCGTCATGATCAAGTCCGAGCTTCCGGGACCGTAGCATTGCAAGTATCCACGGCGATTCTCGCGTGAAACGAGTACATTTGGATATGTCCAGACATCTTCCATCTCAAGCACACAGTCGCGCTCGATGTCGTCGTGTGGCAACCAAAACACGCACCATATCCAGGATCTCCAGTCTTGGCAGAGACGTCCAGTGGGGTGTGCAGCCGTTTGGTCCCTAGAAGCACAGATTCGCCGACAAAGTGACACCAGGAAACTGGAAAAGTGAGAAGAGTGTGCAGCAATGTCAGAGTACATCCAGGAGAACGTAATGATAGCACGTGAACGATGGAAGGTAACTTCACTGTCGGTCGCCGAAGCATGTCTGTGCTTTGTCTCTTTTTACCACATCTATTAACGCTGTCATTGCATGGTATCTCATGAGCCTCATGCAGTATGTTGACACTGTTTGCCCTGTAGGATGTCACATGCGGTGCTGTGCAAGTTCGACCCAGCGCATCGTGCAGACGAATCTGATAGAGCGCCTGTCCATCGACACGATAACAAACGAACGAGGAACGAGCCTACTGATTCTCACGAGCATGTCGTAGCAACAGTGTGAGTCACTCAAACAGAAGGATGCAGCAGGACTAGGTACGTCTTTGTCGCAAGTGCCCACGGACGGTTCAATGGCGACCGAACAGCACTAATGGACTGTGTAGACGTGTTTAGACACCATCGCGCTCATCGACAGCCAGATGTTTTGGCGAACAAAGACACCACGAAGACGAGTAAGACAGGGAAGTGCAAGATCAAAATGAGGAAAGTCAGTGTGCAACCCGTCGCTGCTAATGTTGATGCCATTAAAGGGCTGTTGTTACCGCACAAGAAACCGCAGACGAAAGGGCTGTAGGAATGGCTAATGGCTCAGAACAAATGTGGCGCCAATACGTTTGGCAAAAGCAGAACGCGGTAGCCTCTTGACCAGCCAGTCTCGAGCAGCAGAGGAAGAGGCGACACGACAGAACATGAGGACCACAACACAATCGCTTTTTGTGCATCGAAGTTGTCGCAAACCGACGACTTCCTTCTGGACATCTCCCTCGTCCATGTCAGGGCCACCAAACTGCATCCCGTTCGGATACTTTCGGTTTCCCATCGACGCTACGTGGACCATCAGCTGTCGGTGCTTTCGCCATAGACAGAGCACGAAAGCAGCATATTTTGCAGGCTACAGCTCGTTGCGTACAATGTCTTCGAATCTCCCAGGCAGAACCATAGCAGCAACACAAGAAGCAAACATTGCGCCTAAGCTCGATCGATACTGGCAGAATGTGCTCACGTGCGTTAGGAACGCGTTCGTATGGGTACAACACCACTTCGTGGGTTGCACTGTCAATTTCGGATACTAAAGACCATCAGAGGATACGAGCGATGAGACGGATGCACACCAGTCCGAATGATCGCGTGCACTCCCACGCGTCTTTGCTTGGTCACTATGAAGCACATGCAGTATCCGCAGTGCATGACGGGTGCCCGGACGATGTGAATTTAGGTGGCGCAAGGGGTTTATAACATGAGGTAGAAAGAAGGCTATGGACAGATATGTACCAGCGTACTGCACTGAGCAATGCGAGGCAACATGTGGTTCAGACTGTGGGCTTACCCGCCACGATAAAGTGTCAAGTGCAGTTCAAGTTTGTGTCAGCTTCGCCCGCCATGACCTCCTTACTCCTCTGGCAAACGCGGCGCTCTCAACAAGCGCATGCGTCGACCTCTACGTCTGGACACACATTACAAAACAGTGTCCGCCAGTTCAAATGACAAGTGCCTCGCAGTGCACCTACATACCTCACGCGTAGTGGACGGCACTCATCTTCCGTAGCTGTAAACGCTTGTGACTTGTCGTCCTGACAAGTAGTTCCGTCAAGTTATCGCTCGCGCGATCGACCCACGTCACCGAAGACGTCGCTGCTTTGGTTGTCCTTCAGACTGCCAAATGGCGTTAACGCCAGTTGGTAGCGCACCCCTTTGTGGCGCAGCAAAGGCACTGCCCGCCTGGTAAACCATCACGACCACAACCACCAGGAGCAGTAGTCGCTCGTCCGTGCCAGGAACGTTCGACCCCACTCGGCACAAGTCAATACGAGCCGTCGAGCAAACCTTCGCGCTCTCCGACTGCACGACCCGTTCTTCCATCCTCCATGTTGCTGCGTCGACAGCCCGTACCCCCTTCGCGTCGCCCTGGCACGGGCCCCGAAACCTTTACAAAAGTCCGACGCTGCAACTTCTTTCGACGTCAGCTTCGTCGGTTCCTCCGTTGGTCTTCGGCCGTGACAACTGAGCCGTCGAGTTGCGCACCTGGTGAGGCCACTCAGGGTACAGTCGCTGCGCGTTTGCTCGAGAAACGAGCAGAGACTGCGGTCGTTCGTTGCGCTGTTGATCCCATAATGGTGTTGCATCGACCGACGTCGTCATTGCAGCTGCAGTGCTTTGGGTCTGCTGCAAGCACGCGGACCGGCGGTCGACGACAGAATGAAGACCGTCTTCGGGCGATTGACAACTTGGATCGCTACGGACGTGAGCTGCTGGAAGTGGCCCCTCCGAACTCGTCGCTGTGTTTCAGGGATTTGCTTCAGCATCGAGGGCTCGAGGACTTTGTCGAGGAAGCACATGCCCCACCTGCATTGGCAGTTAACCACTTGCTGCTGCCACGAGCAGAGACGCAGTTCTTCGGTGTCTACGACGGACACGGCGGGGCACAAGTCTCGTCGCTCTTGGCACTGCTGTTTCCAGTGTACGTCCTCGCGGCACCTGAGTATGCGAGTGACCTGGCAGCGGCCTGTCATTCGGCGACGATGGCGATGGATGAGGAGATTCGGAAGCGAGAGCTCAAAGGCGGAGCTACTGCCGTGACACTGCTGCTTCGAGGAGAGACAGCCGTACTGAGCAATACGGGAGACTGTCGAGCGATCCTCGTGGCCAAGAGAGATCAGGCGGGGGTGCACGTGACGCAACTGACAACGGACCACAAGGCTTCAAATGAACAGGAGAAGCGACGGATTGAAGAGAGTGGTGGCATGGTGTTGTACGTGAGGGGCGTGGCTCGAGTGAATGGCCGTCTGGCAGTTGCAAGAGCTTTTGGAGACTCCGAGTTAGGCCGTCTTGTCATTGCCGACCCGGAGGTGACTGTGCACGCACTACACCAAGAAGACGAGTACATTGTCTTGGGCTCGGACGGCTTGTGGGATGTGCTGACGAACGAGCAGGTGGCATCGTACATTGGGTGAGAGCGAAGCAACGCACTGTCGTGGATAGTTCTTAGGTGACTGACGTGTGTGTGAACTGCTGTTGTATGTGCTACTACGACGTGAGCAGGGAACACCCGTTGCTGGATGTGCAGGAGATGGCCCACATGCTGACACATCTCGCTGTTGAGCTCGGCACTTCGGACAACGTGACGGTAATTGTAGTGGACGTGCGAAGTCGAGCATCTTGAGACGCTTCTTGTGTTTGCTGAAAGGAGAGGGGTATCCCGAGTCTGTCCTCAGATGCCAGTTCCATCTCGCTAGAGATACTCGATGTTTCCACAGTGACTTACTCGCTCGACTCATGGTACGACCGGTTGCCCTGGAAGGGACGATGGACACACAAGTTACAATTGCAACGTGACGGTTGGGGTGCGAAAGCTGCAATCGATCAGTGTGATATGGTGATCGAGACGAGAAGAGCTGCCTGAGATCGATCCGTTTGGACCACGTCGGAGCGTCGAGCATCGGCAGAGCTGAAAAATGTCTCGATGGGTTCGCAACGACACGTCAGAGTTTGGTGTCGTCAACTTGATCGTACCCACCCGCAGCATAGCGACAGCAGCAACGTCAAAAAGCTTTGTCTTGTCGCTGGGTGGAGAATCAGCTATGACTGCCCAGAGACTTGCGAGCTCCAGTTCGCATTGTGTCGAAAGCAAGAAAAGCTGAACTGCTGCTTTCATCGTAATCAAACACGATGAACATGTGCCCCAAGCATTACGAAATGCGATGGATTCCAAGTTGCAAGAAACAACTCGAGCAGTGCGTTCGTTGGACCGTTCATGCTCTCTGTCAGTGTTATTGCAAGAAAGTAAGAAAGCAACGCGGCGTGACGAAAGAGCATTGCAAAGCGCAGCAGTTCGTGTTTCAGAAAACACTATGAACACACATGGGACAGTCAAAGCTTTGGCGAGTGAAGGCGGTTTCGACACCATGAGAGATTCGCGCGCTTTCGGAGGACAAGACCCAGGGCGAGACTTTCGTTTGCTTGTTCTGGGACATGGCCTGCACGAAGAGTGTCAACTTTACGGTTCAAACACATGAGCGAAGCGAGCATCGTCGATGCGTTAGCAGCGTACGGAACGTCAGTGTACCAGTACGAGTATGCCAAGTAGTACCCACTGGCCGTCTTCGTGTACATTGTGCCGTACAAAGTGCAAACAGCGGCGAAAAATGAATGGTACAGTAGCTATCGGAACATTGCTGTCAACGCCTTCACCGACCTGATCTTCTCAGCACGTAGAGTCGTACACCTTCAGCATTTGGCCTCCGTTTCAGCCTCCCCAATGTCCAGAGGGCTCTCCGAAAGACCAGCATGTGCAGTTCAGAGCTCCCGCGATTTACTTGTCCGTGTCAGCAATGCACTTGTTCACGACCGTGAGCAAGTGCGAGTTCTCCAGCGCAGCTGCAACGCGCTCCTTGTCGTTCAGCTGCTTGTTCACCTCTGCTTCGGACGAGTGTGTGCCCGGCGTGATGAGAATGTCCACCTTGAAACGTGGCGGCATGGAGCGCAGAAGCTTCACGCGCAGACAAAGTCCAATCAGCGTCGCCATACTATGCCCACACGCAACGGGTTAAGTGCTCGTTCCACCAGCCAATGTCAACAGTAGAAGAGCGCCCTGGACGTACCTGCAGTGTGGGATAGTGGGCGTAAAGTACACTTTAACGCGCGAGTTGGCGTCATCGACGTGAATGTTCTCGAGGGTCATGACCTTGAGCTGCTCCAGTGTGAGCGGGTGCTCGGGGTCATTGACATGTCGAAGGATTTCTGCACTCTTTCGTTTAGTTTGCAATCGCTGGAGCTCCTTCGAAATGGTAATAACAAGAAGTCGTCGTACGCACCAAAGACCTCATCGGCCTCGAACGGGTCAACGGCGTCTTCGTCGAGCGCTTCGTCCACGTCAAAGTGCTTGCGCGTCGGTGCAGCCACAGCGTACACAGTCGGATTGGCGTTGAGTTTCTCCTGCAAACCCATTATCGCTGTTGTCTGCGGATGCTTCTTGGATCAGCTATGAGAGGTTGGGCCATGTGTGCAAAAAAAACGCGTTACTTTGATTTTACAGCGTTTTGGCATAGCTGAGTAAAGTATCGATAAAATACCGCGAAGCCTCACAACAAGAATACGATAAGACAGTCTGCGCATACTGAGCTTTTCGCCACCATAACCAGAGATTGTCATCATCAACAAACAGCTGCGTGCGGTTTCTGAAGCGTTCAAAGCTCGAAAACTCCCATCGTTCGATTTAGACTTATGCGTGTCAAGCTTATCTAGCGGATGCCTTGACCACTCGGTAGCAGCATAGCAGCGCTATTACTGACTCACAAGTGACTGTTTATCCGCGGAACGTGCAAGGACGCGAAGCCTTGAAGACCGTCTTCTGGTGCTTCTCGGCAGCGCGTGGCAGACGGTGGGACAGCGGGAACGAGATCTTCGAGTCGTGGAACTGCTGCACGTTCAGCTTCTTTGCGTCCTTAGCCGACACAATTGCCGTACGCATGATCTGGATCGAGCGAGGGCGCGCGCGGTGACGGCCAGCCAGTTCCGCGTACATCTGTTCGACAGCCCTGCACATGGTCACGTCACGGTACTCCTTGTACATGTTGTGCGTGCCGCTGCGTGAGTTGTAGCCGGATCCAGATGCCGTAATTGTTGATCACGCGGCTGTTCTTCTCCGTGAGCTGTGACGACAAACACACAGCAACGAGAGAACAGTTAGTGACACAGCTCGCTCGAAACACTCCATGTCAGTGAAAGTGTGGCCTCGTCGTCGACAGTGGACAGTTGTTCAGAGTTGGGTCGCTTACAGATGATCCGTTCCACTACATCCAATAGCTAAACAACGGATCACACCGCGATCTCACTAGCGACAAAGCGGTTTGCAAGCTGGAGTAGAGCGAGAAAGGCCATGGAGCGTGGGCTGCTCAACATGACCAAAGCTTCTCTACTCTCGTGGCAAGCAAGCGCTTGTACAAGTCGCTAGGAGGAACAGACGAGGAGGCAGACTCCATTCTGTCTCTCGGTAGTCATGTAGCCATCACTACTGACAGGGTTTCCCTCGCAATGCGGCAGACGCGACGCACCTCGCTAATGTCCAAGATCTCGCCCGTCGTCTTCTTCATCTTCTTCATCTGGTGCAGAAAGTACCAGAAACGGGACTGAGCCAGCACCGGGTTCGGCGCAAACAGCTTCATGCGGTACGCCGGCGGGTTCGGCTCCTTTTCCGTGGGCGCCTTACGGCCAACGACTTGGAATTGACGGATCTGAGCATCACAAGCAGTGCACGAAGCAATAGAACTTAGCGACAAGTTCGACCCGGTGAACGAGCGGGGCAGCGTGTGCAGAAGATGGCTACATACCGGCATTGTTGGGCTTGGGGGAGTTTTCCGCGAAATGGAGAGCCGCAGACAGTGACTGGGCGACACACACTCTCGCTTTCATTGGTGGAGAGACGTCGACAGCTTTTAGCGAGTGAAATGTATTGGCGGCTCGGTATTATACCCGGATGGTACCTAAAACCCGCGGGTTGCGTGTGTGGGTTTGGGCAAAAAAGCTTGTTTTAAACAGTAGACGAGAAACCCAAAGCATTTACGCGTAAAATGAGGCGGAAATGTTGCTAAAACGTATCGTCTCGAGTGGAGTCGCAGGCAGATATAGAGGAACGAGCAACGACGTCGCCCTATTTTGATTACATTGTTCAAATTCGAATGCAGTCAAGTCCATTGGAACTGAGTGTAGAGGCCTCGATCATTGTATGACGGTCATGTAGTGCACGCTAACCAGAGAGTTCTAGTATCAGAATGAGTTCGTGTCTTACACATACCGTCGCCGTCCCTACTGTCGCATCACGACGATAGGACGAGGACGTGCATTTGTCAACGCCTGATGTTGTTCCTATAACGCTACAGCAAAGATCTGCGGTAGTACGTGTGATGCCGACCCCCGCATGTTAGCGTCAGTTAGCTTCGTGTCGGCCTGGCCGCGAGAAGGCATCAACGCATATGTCGATCCCAGCTAGAAGCCCTTCACGCAAAATATGTTGCAGTATTTTTAGTGACTACACATAACATCAAGACTCTGCAAGTATACATACAGAGTCGTTACAGATAAGTAACGACTAAGACTTGGCATGAGCGCGCATTATTACCAAAGCAAGCCTTGTTCGCGAAACGTCTCTCCTGTCATCAGTCGATCTACCTCTCCATCAGATGTGCTACGCCAGTACTTGCGTGGATACAAGCTGCCCGATTCATGTCACCCACATCTGTACCACCTCATTTGTCAGTCGCGGCACTCACAAATTACGCACACTACACTCTATGTCCTGCCGTCAAGTTACCGATTGCATTACCAAGCACATAGCCTGCAACAAGCAGTACAAAAGTCAGGCGCGTTCTGAATCGTCTGCAGCGCAATTACAACGACTGCGAGCGCTCGTTGCCCACGAATTGTCACATCGTCAACTAGTTTATGTAGCCCCCTGTGTCACATGATGGAGCGTCACCGGCGATCGAGCTTTCTTTTCTATCCGTATAGCACCTATCAGCTCCAGTACCTACCATGTAAACTCGTTGGGCTTGCAAGCTGGCAGAATGACGTTTCCGGCTTGGACGGTTCATCGGTCGTATCGCTACATCACCGCATATATTTACGGTATGTGGTCGTGTATCCGGAGCAATCGGGGGTAAAACTGCTGCATTAGGGTGTGCACTTGTCGTGTATACAAGGTCTAGCTGTGATGGTCTTAGCGCGAAGTGACAGCATTAAATAGCTTTCGCCATCTTTACATCGCGATTGGGTTAATCGAAAGATTGACCAAGTGCGAACAAGAGAATGCTTCCTAACAAGCTCACCGAGATACAATACCAAGGTACGATTGTAAACTTAAGCATGATTCACCGGACAGTGGACGTAATTTTGCTGTCTGACCTATCGGCAAGCTAAGCGCCTTTTGCCCCACATACATGCATTCAGTTGGGACCATTACATCGATCTCGATCTCGACCTCGGCGTGGTCTGTCTTTCAGACGCGGACGCTTTGCGTACACCATGGTGTTCCAGAATCAGAGCATCTAAGCAGATCCTAAGAAAGATGTTTATGCGAAGATCCCGCTATCTAACTATACCAAAGAGGTCCTGATTTCGACAGATGTTGCTCCTCCTAAGAATTTAGATAGGACGTTTCAGGTACGCCATCCTAACGTGCATCTGCAACCTGCTGGACCATTGTACTGAGTCGATCCCTTCTAACAAATAGGCATCATTATAGATCACCTTTCGACTCAGCCTGATGGCGAGCAGGATGGTATGCCAGGGCCCGCCTAAACCTACTTTTCGATATGCTCATGATTTAATCGTTTTGCTTAGAAAATATTGACTGCAAACGAAAGCGTTGCAAATTTTATTATCGAGTAAACTACAGCGAATGGAGGACCGGAGTACAAGAATCCTCACTTAAAAATTTGGGTACAGCGTGCTATAAGAGACGTGTTAGGACGTGTTTTGTGCTGCCTCGTGTAATTTAATGCAAAGGCTTAAGTTTAGATTTGTTTATTTAATCGTAATATCAAGATTAATTTGACTTAACAAAGTAGGTCATATATGCTTTTGTTCGCCATCCTTTCCCTTACCTTGTTTAAATCTTTCGAAAACCACTTCTGTAGAAAACGAAAACTTCGTAAAGCCTAATTTTTAGCGCATTGATGAGCCATGACAATTGCCTGTAAAGCAAATGGTGGCTCACCATCCGTTGCACTTCACTCGATCTTACAGTATCTACATTTGTACTTGGATTATCTCTTATTTAAAGTAGAAACATTAAAACATGAATTTGTATTTATTTTGTAAAAAAACAGGGTGGTTCGGTTAATGTGTGCCTAAACTCAGAAAAGACGCCTATTTTTGGCATTTACGAAGCAATTTAATCGTGTTCAGTAATCCCTGGGAAGGTTCCATCATAAAGGGGCCACTTCTAGACCGGGGTCTAATTTCATAGCAATGCACTCGACCCCATGATATCTTTTACACCATTATCACCTCGGCAAAGCATCTTGGTATGATAGCGCGATCACCACAAACCTATTCACGATCGAAAAGCTTAGCCCTTGTAAATCCATTAACGTTTCGCATGCTCATGTAGCACCCTTTTTGTTAAGCCTAAACGGACCTAAATTTTATTTTACGCGCACAGAAAATATGCGACACGTACGAGCAAGGAATATTTCTATAAACATAGGTATAAGATAATAAAGTTAACAGCGAACAGTCTAAATATGGCTTAAAGAGCATTGGTGCTTAATAGTTCAGTCGGCATTTAAAAAGACTAAGATGAGAAATAACAAAATCAACATATATTGAGGTTTGGAGGAGAGTTCTCTTGCCATATTAACACCAGTAATGGCATAAGCATCATACTAGTAGTGTCAAGCCTAGCATATAAATTCAATGAGAACTAGTTATCGTCTTGATACCAAGCATCTCCTGATGTGATTACGCAAATCCATACGCACATGATTTGGATTGATATGTCGCGAACAATCCTCCCTACATCAACCTGCAGTCCTGGTGCATACATATCTCAATGATCATTAACGACGAATAGTAATTCGATAATTGAGGTTCCATACACTTACTGATGTGCAACTATCCATCGAAAAGGTATCAGTAAAGTGAAACCCTATCCCTAAACAACCTCATACCCTAGCACCCCAAAATCATCTCTATGACTATATCGCTTCTCCAACATCAAACAGAAAACGCAGTGACTGCTCAAACAGGTCCCTTCCGTAAATTAGCGATTCCTCGATAATTTTGGGGAAAAGAAGCACGCGTATCTGTATAATCGTCTGAGATATGACCAACGAGAACTGGAGTGACCTGTGACTCCGGGTCGTATATGAACTTTTGGCTGTCAATTTTTTGATTAATAATCAATGAGTTGGAAGGAGTCATGATTTTTAATGAGAATTTCACGTGAACGCGTTCCTCTTCGCGATATAAGCACATTGCGTACATATATAATCGATTGTAAATAAATGCGCTTTATTTTTTGCTACTTCCTACACACTACATCCTTAAATCGTCCAAGTAGTGCTATTTGAAAGCACTGATGCGGTTATCATTTAATTTAAAAGTAAGATCTGGTTGTGCCTATAGGCCAGAGGCACGTAGCCATCCTAGTCGTTTGCTGGGGTTGCTTTAGATCGTAGAAACAGGCGGGACAAATATTTGGTGCTTTTATGCACTCCCACAACGATCACAGATCTTGCATTTTCACCTTATCAATGCTGAACGATTTCTAAAGTTCCGAGCAAAGGTGACCACTCGCATCAGGAACCTGAAGCCTTTGGCTACCTATGTCTATAAAGTGTTCAGTATTACTTTGGGTGTGAACTCGACCCAGTAATAGCAACATCAGTAAGTATGTTTACAAACGGATACACTAGTATCGACCCCTCACTGCAAATAGTCATCGCGTTGTATAGCAAATATCGATTAATGAGGCGGTGACCTTCTGGGTGCTGACGCACCATTATCGTGAATATATCATTACCAGGGATATGATATGCGCGAAAAAATTATTCTTTGCCGAAGTTTTAAAATCCTGGATGACGACATATAGTCTTCGTACGTATGTCTCCTACAATTCCAGCAACAGCACAAATTTCGTGCTGTTTAGATCACGGTGAAATCAGATAAGTTTATGCCAGGGCTTTGAACTAAGATCTACCTGTAATAAAACGTTTTTTTTGCCGGGTATTATCCTTGTGATGTCTACAACATCAACGTGACGATTATTTTTGTCTGTCTCAGAAATGACAACTTTGTCATTAGTTTTCATGACATTAATCGCATTTTTGCAGCCTTAAGAGAAAAGGTGTGTAGTTTCGATACGACCCATGACCTCGGATTTATGACAATTTTTGTGGGTCATAGAGATATTCATACATCCGCGAAAATTATACATGAAGACAGGAGAGCGGTTATGATTCTGTTACAGTTGGAACATATTGACATAAACGATCTGATATTCATATTAAAATGCCTTTCACTGCTTGCAAAGCTTCATATGCATGTTTGCGACCTTGTGCCTAGGGATGTGACTATAAGTTTAGCAAAAATTGAAGCTCTATAAGTTTAATGATTGGAATATTATCGTCTTGATCTACAACACGCCATTCTTCATTGTAGATGG